GCTATCGATGCTAGAAGAGAGAAGGGAGAAATGGTGCGACAAGGCAGACGCGCCCTTTTTAAGGCGACCGCAGCCTCGGGAGGGGTCCGCTCGCTCAAAGCTGTTCGCGCACACAAAGAGTTATAGTTGGGGCGGGAAATACTCACAGCTGTAACGACCGCAATTGACAAGCTCAGATCCTGAGCTGATTTGATGCAGCAGCTTGCGCAAAAGCTGGACAAGACAGGAGCTGGAGGTTGAGGTAGACGTAGTGAAGGTATCCAGGAATTCTGATGCCAATGGGTACAGGTAGGGGGAAAATCCACGGTTTAGCCGGACGCTCCGATAAGAGATAAGAGCTCCGACCTCAAGCTTTCGTCAACGGACTCGGAGCTACAAACGCATGCCCAGTTTCTCCAAATGTTTGAGGAATGCTTTGCAGATATTGCAGACTCAAAGATAAAGGCAAACTTCTAGTTTCTGCTTCAAAGTGCCTAAGGTGACGTAGGAAGGTACAACGGGCGAGCAAAGTCATGACCGGTCAACCCGGGAAAGCACCTTGTCTAGCGGGATTCCGGAGCTACCTAGCTGTGCCCGCCGCTGGCCATGTAGATACCTTCCAAGATTATTTCCTCTGGAGTAAGATACGGATATTGATAGTTCCGCGTACATGAAGGGCAGCCTTTTATACTTTTTGGTGACAGTTCTAATCAAGACAGATTTGATCCGTGAGGTACTCTGTTCATAGGCACACCTCGCGCTGGTCCCATCCGAAGGCTCCATTCCAGCCTAGGTACTCTTGATGTCGTGGTCTGGGACATCCGGCGGATGACTCTGGCAAACGAGACATTCTGGCGAGTGTTGCCCGTCGATGGATTCTTGATCGACCAGCGAAACAAAGGAACGTATTCAACCCGTGAATCTTTCCCTCTTTCCTCATCTTTACCTTATTACCCTTACCGCCCGGTGAACTCTTTACCTGGGCAAGACCTCAATCGATTTTTGGCACTGACTTCAATAGCTTTTGCTAGATTGATTCAATGGTCTCAAGACTAAGCAGGTATCGCGTCGAACCCTGGCCATGTTACATTGGAAATTTCCACCTGTGCTGTCATAGCGGGGGCAGTCACTGTTTACATACTATTCAAGCAGCGCAGAACATTGGGTACATGTCGGACGGGACCCCTTGAGTCCTGACACAATTTACCAAGCCGATCTCAATCGTCAGCAACATGGCGCCAGACCTCCCCAGTCTCCGGATTGCTCGTCCATCCGTGATCCACCCGGATCCGAGTCCGAAATCATTGCGGAAGCACCAAAATGCCCGCACATGGAGAATCTGGTACGTCTCACTCCAGCCCAGTATTGAAACGCTCTTGGAAGTTGTCGTCCCATACCAAATGAGGTGGTGTAGCGTCTTAGTCAGCAGCCCCAAGTACAGGATTGCGGCACCCGCGCCTCGTGCGCTTGTCGTCGAATGCCCACGTGTGACGTCGCTGAAGGTGCACTGCGTCAGCACCGCATCGCCGGGTTGCCGGCTATCCTCCTTGGCCCCGGATTTTGGTTTTGTGTTTCTGTTATCTTTTTCCTCGCCCGCGCTCCATCCCGCTTCACCGCGCGAAGGGGAAGGATCTGCTCGCCCGGATAGGCTGCGACATCACGATCGTTGTGCGCGCTCGCTGCGCAGTATACTTCGTATTACCACGGCCAGCCAAAGACCCTTGCTTTCCTGTCGTGTCCTGAATGGGTGGGACCTTTTTCTTAATCAGAAACCATGGCGTCCGACGATGAATCGATCCGGCCTCTGCTGTGGTCCTTCTCCGGGTTCCGCGAGAACAGACGGCCGGCGCCGATCAGGCGACAGCTGAGCCAGTCACGGACCAGCCTCCAAGATGTGCTCGCATCTCGGAAGAAACACTATGCCGTGCTGGCCCTCGTATCACTGGATGTCGCCGCGCTCATGGCCAACATCTTTGTCGAGCTCGTCGCCTGCGATATGAAGCGGGAAGACGAGCCGTGGGTCAAGAACACGCGCGAAGGTCTCACCATTGCGGGCCTCGTGTTTAGCTCTCTGTTCTTGATCGAACTCGTATTGTGCGTTATTGCATTTGGATGGAGGTGAGATGAACCCCCAAGAGCACGCAATGAACAAGCCATCACTTACTCAGACCGTGATAGGTATTTTGCAGAGTGGTTTCATCTACTCGATGGCATCGTTATCGTGGCAAGCTTTGTTATCGACGTGCTCTCGCACGGCATCGTGGAAGAGATTGCTTCCCTCGTCATTGTGTTCCGTCTCTTCAGATTTGTCAAAGTGGTCGAGGAGATGAGCATGGGGGCCGCGGAGAGGATGGAGGGACTCGAGGAGCAGCTGGCAGCTCTAAGGAGAGAGAATGGAGAGATGAAGAGACAGTTGGCACGACGATGATTTGGAGGCATGTTTCTGGTATTCTGGCATTACGGCATTGGTGGCAGCGCTTTCATGTGATGATCGATACCCTTGGGGAACATACTAATGATAATGAACGATCTGGCACATGAGGAGCGCGTTTTGCAAGTACCCTAGTCTGAAGGTGTTAGGTACTGTTTCTCTGAATGGGCCAACTTTGTCTGACCGAATAAGATATTCTTTTGTCAAGATGACGCTACTGCAACCCAAAAGTGATGGGGGAGCATGCAAAACACACTGCTGATCTATATACTTCAAATGCCTCGATCCGAAGCATGCGCAATCACTGGGCGACGAAGACGCCGATGGCTTTTGCTAGAGGTAGAAAAGAGCTTGTTTGACGGGTCCGGGGTAGCTGCCGTCAGTTGTTGCTTGACCAACCGCGGACTAGTCAACAACTCTGATCGGCTTGGGCTTCAGATCAACGTTTCGATCTATGGATCGAGGTTGGACCATTGGGCTGCGGGCATGATGGTGACGGCCGGACTTTCGGGGGCAGACGCGGTGGGGGGATGTGGTACGTTGGCCGGCAGAGAACCTCCGCGATGCAACGCCAGCCGCCCCAACTACTACTGCAGCTCGTATTGCTCCTCTTACTGCAGATACTATGCAGTCGCCAGCGAGGAGGTAGCCATTGGGCTATGTGAGACCACTTTACAATATTCGCCTCCTCAACGTCCCGCCACGCTCCGTGTTCGAGGTGCATCAGCGGATACCCCGAACACAAGAACGAGAATAGCATCAGGCAAACGCGCCAATGTAGCGCCAATGGGCAAAAGACGTTGGATACGAACATCGGAAAGGGCGAGATCGCAAGAAAAGTGGCTGTACCTGCCCCATTCAGCCCCGATAAAAGAACATCAATATATTGAAGTATGAAATGGCATAGGCTGATAAGCTGTTTACAGTCATGTATTCTGACGCGCAAAAGACAATTACGGCGTTTGGACCAGCGACGAAAAATGCAACACAAAAGCACAACACGGACACCGCAACAAGGGACGGGACCCAATAAAACTCGAGCCAAGAACAAAGCAGCGGCCAGTCAAAGGGCCACGCTTGTTGTGTCTTGATATCGGGAAATAAGCATATCAAAATCTTGACTGGCGAGCCAAAATACCGGTCAACGGGTAAACCGCTACATATGCAGCAAAAAGAGGTCAAAGCCTTTGCAGGAAAAACAACAGACGACAGCTGCGCCGTTCGTGTTTAGATCAGATGCTTCGAGACCGGCTGCAGTCAGCCGCAATTCCCATGGCTTTTCCTCTGTATTGAATAGTTGAATGGTGTTCATTGCCACATGAGATCTACGGATACGGATCATGACTTTTTCCCAACACGCAACTACGCATACGGATACCACCAGGAAACGGCACTTGCGTTTGTGGTGCAACGCATCCTTTGAGGTTCGCACGCCCTACCCTTGCTTCCTTACGGCAGAACGGGCCAAGGGGGTAAGAAAAACAACGGCCCCAGAAAGAGGGATCATTGTCCAATCAACAGCCCTTCAAATCGACTGCCCCCCTTGTCCACGAACAAGATTAGACTTCATCTCGACGTCCGGGCCCCATGTTCGCGCCGCCATCGTTCGAACCTCGCTCCGTTTGACTTACTCCCGTTTTTCCTTCAATCGATCGTACCACCTTCTTTCTCGGCAGCGCTGCACAATATATTGGAATGTAGCATAGCTGCCGAACCAGACACGGGAAGGCAATATGTTCTGCATCCTGGTCCGCCACAGAGGGGAGCACGGCACGGCAACTAGAAACCAAGCCCTCAAGTGAGACTGGTCTCTACGGATACTGCCCAAAGAGAAAGAAAGGGGGTATCAGCGGAGGGGACGGCCAGCCGCGTACGGGTTGTTCCAGCCTCTTCAGCCCTGATGGCCCGATTGTTTCTTCACCAACAATTTCGAAGCATTCCTCCAAATTGTCAAAGAAAATCCCCATCCTCCAGAAACGCCCACGGCCTCGAGCTAGAAGGCTGGAGAAACACACAAGGTGCGCGTGCGCTGCACAGCATTTTCCACACCATATTCTTACAAACGGTTGCCCCCTTCCCTTTCGTCCTTGCTTGATGCTAGCAATTGGACGGGGATTGGGGTTGGGTAGTTTCTACAGCCGAAAGTGGGAAGATTTAGGCGGGGATTGGCAGGGACAACAGGGTTACAGGGACCTTTCTTTCAAGGTAAGAAGTCTCGTCCTCCTAATCCTCTCTGCCTCTCTCTTTGCAGGCCGGGGCTTGACGCCATCACCATATTCACGGTGTCGGTCTCCAATACCCACTCCCCTTTTTGCTGCTGGCGCCGCTGCAGAGGGCGGATATTGTTTCCTTTTCTCCTCACCCTCTCTACTTTCCCACTGCCGCTGCTACCTCACTGTCACACGCATATCGGATACATAGAAGGAATACGGGGGCCCTAGCAGAGTAGCCTCATCAATCTCCATCAGTCAAGCAAGAATCCCCGAACCACCAAACCCCTGGAGATGCGGCTTGATGGGGGCCCGCTCCCCCCTTCCATCCTATCTGTCCCTCCACTTTGTTGGCTCCTCTGCCTGGAGTAGAAGAGAAAATGCCTGACGGGCCTATCACATATTCGAATTCGCTAGCGTCGCGCGCCACTGCTTTTGCCCTCCTCGGCCTAGTCGAGGGGGTGCGTGGAGTTGCTTCTCCTCGATCCTGATGCTAGTTCACTTTCCCACCCCCAGCCAGCGGGTGCTCCCCCCCCCCCCCCAAGAGGATCATAAAAGTCCGGATACAACGTTTTGTGATGAAATTGCTGCCGTTCCCTAATTTGCTTAATATACTCCATCTGCCAGCCCTTCGCTCTCTCTTCTCTTTTCCTTTCCCTCCTCCTCCCCTTCCGTAATAAGCCTCCGCCAACCCACTGTTCATCAAAAACAGCTTATTTCGTCTTCGACAAACCTAATTCTCCTCGGTTCGTCCAGTCACTCGCTAAAGTCTTTGAGACTCTTTACATTCGTTGGAACCACCATACAACCGTCGTTCTCGATAACCAATACAACCCCGTAATAATCGACTTGACCGTCAAAAAAACTTTCCACACACTCAAAATGAAGTTCTTCTACCCTCTCGCTCTGGCCCTCGCTGCCGTTGTTGCCGCCGCCGATGATGACTGCGACGCCGCTCCCATCGTCGAGGCCTGCCTGACCAGCGAGAACGCAAAGGTAAATAAAACCCACAGATACTCTGAACAACCTCAACAACAACCGACAACTAACACTACGTTCTCTTTAGGTCAAGGACTGCAACGCCACCGACTACGACTGCCTTTGCGCCGCCTACCAGGCCGTTGCCACCTGCTACAACAACTGCCCCAAGGACTCCCGCGCCGCGCCCGCCCAGGGCCAGGTGACAATCTACTGCCAGCAGGCCTCCCTCTACGGCTCCGCCGCCATGCGCAAGACCCAGTCCGTCGTCTCGGCCACCGGCTCCGCCTCCGCTGCCGTCGCTTCCAACTCGGCCTCCGCTACCGCCGCCGCCACCGGCACCAGCGCCTCTGGCAGCTCTGCCTCTGCCACCGCCTCGGCCAGCTCCAGCTCCAGCTCCGCCAACATTGGCGTCGGCCAGCTCGCCCGCAACACTGGCGGTGTTCTCCTCGCCGTTGCCGGTGTTGTTGCCGCTGTCCTCTAAACGAACGACATAAATATCTTTTGCAAGATAATGCACATAATCTTCCCTCCTCCCAAAATTCCATCTAGGAAAAGGGGTGTTGGGGAACCAAGATACCAAAACATCATGTCATTTAAAGCGATTATGTTTACGGTGCTCAAGAGATTTCTGGCAATGTTTTTTTGTCAAAGACTTACAGGACAGGATAGGACCTGATTTAACGGAGCATATGTGGCACACCCAATCGAGAATTTGGGGCCAAGGAAACAGGGGAACGGCGAAAGAAAAACCAAACCACCATTTGTATATGCTTAATCTTTGTAATTACCTAATTCCAATCCAGCCCTTCATGAAGTTCACTTTTCATGGACGAGAGAGAGAGAGAATCAGGTTCAACAGGAAAGAAAGAGAGAAAGCATGTGCTATCAAGATCCCGTTGTTGATATTTGTGAGGTCGCTCGACGTATGTTTCCAACTTTTCACTCCTCTGCTGCTGCTGCTGCCGCCTGAAAAGGGACTTAACACGAACCAAGTACCTTATGCATCTGACATTCTGATTTGGTGACTATGCAGTAGCCCAAGTTACACAGCATTACACGAAGAAAAAGAATTGAAGAAAATACAAAGTGAAATCCACGGAAACCATTTCTTAAATGTCTTCAAGAGACCCCCAGTTCTCCAGGTCGACACACATGCGTTGTGGCATCGTACAATACAACAACGAGAGAGCCAGAAACGAAACAAAATATCGCAGAAACCGGGTAGTTGACTCAGCGACAATGCGAACCAATCCCACGCCCCTCCGAATTTTGATGTTTGTTTGAAACATTTCTGAACCTACCTTGCCTTAGCGGCCGGGCCAACGACACCACTCTACCCTACATGCATTCCCCAGCATCTCGCGCGCATGTACGTATCCGCAACGCATGCTTTTCAGTTGTTATTCTATTTTCCTGTTGTTATTACTCCCAAAGCAAGGAGCGTACCTGCTCAAATGCCTCGAGTGTCTCATACTCGTCAGTCCGCCCGACTTTCCTAGGTAATGCTGACTGCCCAGACCAGTGTGATCCCGACGGAATACACGCAGGGTACACCTCTCCGCCAGCAGTCGAGGACGGTGTCGCAGATACACAGAAAACGGAACAAGACTTGGATTTGATAAACAACATTGCGGGTAAGGCAAAAAGGCCCTGTAGATTGTTTCGCAGCGTTCAATCTCGAACCTCGAACCTAGCTATCCGTAGAGACGTCACAGTAGACCACCCGAACCTTACGGCAGTTCTCCGGACCATCTTGTCTGCCACATATGATCTCCCTTTCTCGGCGCAATGTGCGCGAGTTTCGACAAGTTTGAAGTCGGTGGAGCGTACCCATTTCGCCGATGATCTTTACCAAGTAACCTGACTAGACCCCCTCCTTCAATGAATGCCTGCCAAGTGTGAATCTCGGCGCCAAGAATGCAGTCTTGTGAAGAAGACTATCAGCATCATCAAAAGTCACGTGAAACTTGCGTGGGATGGTTCAAGATTGGTTGCTCAATGTGAGCTCGTTATCGTCATTGTTTTCATCAAGCCTTCTTCTCCAACCGCTATGATACAACACGAGTGTCCTCGAATCCTACAGCTGGCTCATAAGCGTTTGTGTCCCTCCTTTGGGAGACCATCTCCCTCTTTCTCAAGTGTCGTTGCGGGCCTCGGTCCCCTACCTCCAGGAGGACTTTGGTCCAAGGCAGTGAAGTTGTAACAGTATAAAGTCTACAAGCAAATGAAGCAAGAAATAAACAGTACGCAAAAGGCAGACGCTTCCCAACAACCGTGACGCCCGGTTCATATCTCTAACAAGTGACGTTATCATCTCCGGCCACACACGCCACCGCAGCCTACTTTTTTTGCCTGTCCTATTTGACCCCTGGTTGCGCAGAGTCGTGTGAATAAAGAGGATAATACTAAGAGGGGAAAGAACTTTCGTCGACTAAAAAGGAGTATGTATGCGCAAAAAAGGTCTTGGTCGCCGAAGAAAGCAGTGAAAAGGGGGGTTGGCGGCAAGTTAGGTGTTGCCTCGGGAAGAGATCTTGTTGCAAAAAAACAGGAGAGCATTTATCAGACTCGAGAGAGTGCCGAAAACGCCCTAAACTTTTCGGGCTCGCTTCGCGCTGTCGTGGACAGGGCTAACGAAAGTGACATGCTTGTTCTCATCCTTCTTGAGACGCATCGCAGTACCGGAACCGACTCCGCTAGACTCCCTGTGATGACCAAGAGGGCGTCCATCGTGATCCTCATCAAGTGTGATCTCAGCAACGTCAGACACCGACTCGGCATCCATGCGGTCGCTGACACCTGATTCGGACGACCCGTCATCGGAGTCATCATATTCGCCATCGTCGCTAACAAGCGAAGGTGCGTTGTTGCTGACCATTGTGCTGGGGCTGAGGTCAACGTCCTCCATGTCAACATCCTCACCAGAGTGTATTACTACCCTGGTGGGTCCGTCGTCCTTCTCGGGACTGCTCATGGGAGGCGAAGCAAAGCCTGTAGAAGGCGACCTTCCCTTGCTGCTTGTTGGTCTCGTCGACGAAGTCAGAGTGACGGGTGACATTGGTGCTCTCGCAGGCATGCGCATGGCAGGCATACGAGCAGCTGATCCAGCATTGCTCTTCGGGCTGCCGAGACCAGTCTCGGTATCTTCCGATTCCTCACCTGGCGATGTGAGGTCTTCAAGCGACATCTTCTCCTTGGCGTCACTGACAATGTCACTGAGGTTGCCGGTGAAGTTTCTGCTCTGCATGAGTCGCGAAAGGAAGGGGGTGTCAGCCGAGGCGACGAAGTTTCCAGCCTTTGGCGCAGCGGACCTCGCAGGCTCTGCCTTTGAAGTACTTTGAGGGATGCTTGTAACGCCAGGCAGCTTGCCATCACGATACAACTTGAGGGAATCTGCGATCCTAGAACGCAAAGCAACGTACGCCTGTTGGGTGGACATGTCGGTCTGGGCAAAAGGATGGACGAGACCAGACGCGATGGCGGTTGATGGGGGAGGCGGAGCCTTTTCCTCTCCAACAAGACTGCCGCCTTCGTTAACCTCGATGGGGTGACCGCAATGAACAGCCGCCTCTTCGTGGCTCTTGAAGTCTCGCCTATGGGCGATGCGGCAGTGGTTGATGAAGCCCTGAGTGCTGCTGAAGTTCTCCCGATTGCAATCCAGGCAGACGAGCTTCACAGTCTGGCCGTCGGAGCGCTTGAGAACACAAGGTCCGGCCTTCTCCTTTGGCTGAGGGTAGCCGCTGGAGAGAGACTGCAGCTTCTGGCTGCCAATACCCCGAGTCGAGCGGTTCTTGTTTGCGCTGGCGAGATCAGACATGCTGTTCCTTGTCGTTCGTCCCTCAACTGAGCTTCTGCTACGGGCAGTCTCAAGCACTGGGTACCACTCAGGTTGCATGCCATCAAACTTGGGATCGGGGATGAGCCACTTGGCGTAGTGTCGAGCGTAAGGTCCATCGACAACTCCAAAAGGCGCAGCCCATTGGGGGACAGGCTCTCCCGGACGGTTTTGCAGAGCTGGACCCTTTCCGTTGCTGATATCCAACATCTGCGCAGGAGTGGGACAGGCAGTAGGATACGGAATGAGATGGCAGCGACGGAGTTGCTCGAGAGCAACCTGACATTTTGCCAGTTCTTGGTTGATTAGTCTCAGCTCATTGTGCTTGAGCAAGATCTCAAGACCAAATTGGTACTGGATAGCGTCGCGCGCGTCCTCCATGTCGTTAGTCACTGCTGGAACAGCGGCAGGCACAGGCACAGGCAAAGACGCGGATGCTGGTACGTCAGAGACGACACTGGAAGGGATGTCAGAGACGGCGAGGTTGGTGCTCTCCAGCTTGGCCCGCTTCAAGGGCTGCTCAGTGGCGATGAGTGCATCTGGTGAAGGTGAGTCGTCAACGCTTGACAGACGCCTCTTTTGAGGGCACGACGGGCCCGCCAGTGATGCCGTTTGCGCAGGTTGCGGCAGAATGAACTGATGCTTTTGCGCGAATGATGGCATAGGTTGAATGTGACTGATCGTCGTTTCGCTTCCCCGCTCGCTGCTCCAGAGTGATCGGAACATAAGCGCGGTTCTCTGAGAGCAACGAAGGTGATGGGATGAAAGGTCGCGTTGAGGGCGGCCTGACGACTTTATGCGAACGTGAGATGAGGCGCAAGGCAACAGCCTGACGAAGGTGCAATGTGGCAGTGGCGGACGGACCAGGCACCTGCAGCGTGCGACGTGGTGCTGATGCAGGCAGAGGAGCCAAAAAGCTGAGGTGCGTGCAATGAGCTTGCGAGCTGGCGACGAGGGCTGACGTAAACAGTGGATTCCCCAGACGGACGAGTCGGGTGTAAGCGTGTGGCTGCTCTGGGCGTGGGTGAAGACGAGGCGACGGGTGTGTGGTGCGTTGGTTGGCCTTGGATGATGGGGCCCGAAAAGGGGTGGCAGGGGGGGGGGGCGAGTGGTGCGTGATGATGTGGTCGGGCTTCCGGTCAGGAAGGCCAGAGGCAAGAGAGAGAGCCGGAGACCGAAGCAGACGAGTCGGCGACAAAGGGATGGGATTGCGACGGTCGCGCAGCGAAGACAGCGACGCAGAAGAATCGAGAACTAACGAAAGCCTCGATATCGCGCGAGAGAATGGTGCGAAAATGAATGCGCGAAGAGAGTTGGGCGAGCAAAATAAAAGAAGCGACGCCTACGATGGTTCTCTATGTCGTGTGGACGAGTGGTTTTGGAGCGGTTTTGGGGGGAGAAGTGGTTGTTTGTGAGGAGGTTGAAATGTTGTAGATGGGGATGACAGCGGAAAGAGCGAGAATAACTGTCAGAGGTCGGGGAAGGAGGCAGCTTCAGACCTCTCAGGCGGGCGACGTGCGTGAGCTTGGTGGGAAATTGGCCTCTGGGGTGGTGATTGCGAGTGCGGGTGGGCCTTGGATCCTGGGGGCCAGAGAGAGACACACACAGAGAGTAAGGTATCCGTACGGTAAGTAAGGTAGCAAAAGCAGCCAGCCAGCGAAATGGTGCCGGTAAATAGTGTGAAAAGGAGATGGGCCGTGAGTTGAGCGAATTGGAAGTGTTCCTTTGCGGGTGGTTCTGTTTCTCGTTCGCTGATTGTCGATGGCGCAGCGGCGGTGCGGTAAAGGTCTCCGTAGGCGGCGGCGCAAGCAAGCATGTAGCAGTATGCCAGTATCTCCTTAGCAGACAATAGCAACAAGAGAAAGGTGGACGGGGCGAGGTGGATGCACAGAAAGCTGAGGTGGATGTTTTGGCGCTTTGCGCTTGTGCTTTGTTGGTGTTGGAACTTGGCGATGATGCGAGGGACCCGACTGACTAGGAAAAGGCAATTTGTGTATTGAATGCAAGGGGAGGCATAAAAAGGGGTGTGTGTGAAAAGAAAGAGAGATGGGTGTGAGAGGTACGAGGTGTGTGGGTGGTGTGGATGAGGATTGTGCTCTGAAACGCGATGCTGATTGGTTTGTTTGCAAGAAAGAAGGAGGGAACGAGGGAATGCGCTTGTTTGGTGAGTTTGGTGACTGGCTGGTCTGACCCAGGTGTGGGGGCAACTGGGGACGGGAGGTACATACAGACAACCGGACCAAAAAAAAGAAAAAAGGAATGGAAGGCGAAGGGAAACTCAAGGAAGGAGGTGTGCAGCTGCAGGGATAATGTGCAATACGACGAGGACACTGAGCAGGGAAGGAACGGAGGTGCCCTTTTCCCAGGTTCCTTCCTTACCCAGACTTGGTACTTTCCATACGCAGTACCTCGTGCTGTGTACTTGCCTACTTACTCTTGTTTTGTGGTAGGACTCAGGAGAGCAAGACCCAATCTTCGACACAACCTAAATGACACCCGGACGGTTCGGCCGTCAGAAAGGGATGCAGTAAGAGTCAGTCCTACACATTCTACTCTCCAACAAAGTGGTATTCTCTCACGTCTCTCTGTCAGCCTGACTCCTGAGAGTGTGTGTGTGTGCCAGATGCAAGTCCTGACGCAGACGACAATAAAAACGGGCGACCAACAAGACAGCGGCAGGAGCAGCGGCAGCGACAGCGGCAGCGGCATGCGCACTGAACTCCAAAGCTGTCAAAGAGAACGAGGACAGACTGGTTAGAGAACGATGCGCTCAGAGGATAATGCTGTCCCCGAGTCCCTGAGAGTTGAGAGATGGGACGTCAGTTCCTCATAAGTCCCGTCTTCGTCTGTGTCTGTGTTTGGCCTCGTCTTCCACCTTCTTTCCAGAATCCAGAAAAATTCAACCTGGCAAACTGGGTGCCAACTCCCGTATTCTGTATGGCGGATGGGAATCTGATGGGACGATGAGACGGACGGGGGGCCCTTCCGAGCTTCTGTCTCTTACAACTCGTAGGCAGTAGCCGGGTTCTTTCTGGCGTCGCTGCAATACGTGTTTCGCCGCCCCGAAAATAGAACGGGATTGATCATGGTGGGCGCGTCCAACAACACTGCAACTCAACTGTACCGGGTAATCTAGGTAAGGGCACAGCTATTGTGGAGGTTCATTAAAGGGATCCCCCTTTTTCGCGATAATCAAGAATCTGACAGGCTGTACGGAGTAGAGCATATAGGGGGAAGATAAAGAGGGTGAAGGCAACGCCGATGCAACTTCGTATGTGCAGCGCAGTCTCAGGGCTGTCTATCACCACTGGCCTAGTTGCTATCTATCACGCCCAGGATCCAAATTGCACGTCTCTCTTGCAAGTTGCCGATCCAACTGATTATCGTGTTTTGTTTGTAAAGGTTTCGACATGTGTCTTATCCAGCCCGCCTGCAGATTGATTAAGTAGCACCCAGGCACGGCACTACGGATAGGTACATGGACCAAGGTTCCTTAGTGAGGAGAAGAAGACGGGGAAAGCTCATGGCGTGTGTCCCGACTTGTTTTGGTTCCGTGCGAGAAACGCCTCAGTCATGTACCTTGGGGCGTGAGACGGCCGCTGCACGAGCTAAAAGTACCTGGAGGCGTGGGAATGTTCCCACTCCACAAACCTTCGGGTTCGGGCCTCTTATTTTTCTCTCCTCCCACTGCGCCAGCCGCCGTATGTTGGATGCCTCTCCCCATACCAACATACCTTTCTCTGGCCGATAAGTTCCCCAAACACGGCGCGGGGTTGGACATGATCTCGGAAGCTGCCAGATTGTGCATATTGGCTGTCAACTCAATGAAATGTTTATTGACGGATGGGACGAGGAATTCAAGGTATAGCATCGCCTGTGTCTGTTCAAATGAGTCAACATCCGCCCCTCACTGCTTGACGAATGCAAATATTCAACGACGCATCTCATTAGTTCACTGTCGTCGTTGTCGAGCACGCCGCCGCGCTCTCTTCTCCACGTACCTAGCGGCAGTCTCGGATCTTATTCGTCTGGATCGTAGCTTCGCCATTCCGGCTGGCCTACCAAGAAGCTGCGCCTAGCGTCCACGGCGACGACGACGACGACGACGACTCCATTACGCCCCTTTCCGAATGGCATCGTGGATGCGGACTAGACTTCTACCGGTAGCAAGCGACCCCAAGCTATGGGAGGCCGCGGGCGAGACCGCAGCAACACAACGTGGGATGACATGAGGAAATGGACCCTGAGAAACAAGGTAACACCTTGCGGCGACCGTGTATCGCATCTTCTTGTGTTCCGCTTACCTTGCTGTCTTTTTTCTGTCGCCTCATCATCGAAAGCTTCATGCACCATCGAAGCACCTTGATTGCTTGTCGCCCTCTCAAGCCTCGCATCCATGCGTCTTCTAGAGCCCTACTCTGTGGCCTTGACGATGGCCAGCTTTACACAATGATGGAGGAGGGATGGGTGGGTGCGACATGCAGATAGACATGGGATCGCCGCTGGAAATACGCCACGCCACCCGGCGCTGCCCAGCTCGCCTTTAGCCCGTTCTGGTTTCAGATACCTGAGCACCGCTAGCGAGGTACCAGCCAGGCCGGGATCTCCAGAATTTCACCAGCAATATTGCGACTGAGGAGCTGGAATAAGCCAATGAAGCAGCGTTGTCTTGCGACGATACCCAACGGTAACGATGCCGAGTCGCCCCGACTCAGCGGCCAAGGTCAGAACCGCATAAGTTCCTCTTTAACCCCGGGCCTCCCTACCCTTTCACGGCATCTACGACGTTTCTCCAGGCCTTATCCCGGGATTCCCAAGAGCGCTCCCTGGCGAAAATGGATTAATACCGCTGCAGGTCGTGCAGCTCGGCCTGAACGGTGCCACGCTGCACCTCGGAAGCTTGGAAAATCTTGGGGAGAACTATCGCAGACCACTTTGGGAGCTGCTAGATGACGAAATGTCGCAAAGCTCATGATTCAGTACCTAAACCTACGGACCTTTCTGGCTCGACCTTCCATCCGAGATGCCAAGCAAGCTTTTGGCAGTCCACCAGCATCTGACTGAAGATAGCTCTGGTGGACATATTGTGACCATTTTGATATTCGCTTTGTTCAAGCCTACGAGATGCTGCAACCAGAACAGGGCGCAACACGGCGCACTTTCATTCATCGAATCAAAAGAATGGCGTCCTTGGAGAAGAGGCGGATCAGCTGCACAGGCCACGCCAAACATGTGAAGTCGAGAAGCCACAGAAGGACCATCGGCGCATGGGCGCCCTGTCCAGTGGACCCTTCCATCTTCCGCGGAACGCTAGGCCAGGTCCGGCATTGAGCGAGAGCTCGTGTCTGATCATCGCTGCTTTAAACATTCTCGATGTTGAACGCTTAGTCACTTCATTACGGCATCCTATCTTGAAAGCACTTTGCCTTGCTCCCGAGGCTCAGGATATCGTCGTGGTACTTTCAAAAGCTTATGATTAGTCTGGCACATCACATAGTGGTATCAATAACGATACAACATGGTAATCATCATGCGTTACATTGCCTTAGAGCAAGCGTTTGACGAATGCTATGAACATCAAAGACGCCATCCAATCAGAAGCTCTTGGTCAAAGACTGGACGTCGCGGCTCTCTGCCCTCTCGGCTCCGAAAGCTGGTCCAAGCGTCTGATGCAATTCGATAAGATCTCTATCGATAAGGTAGAGATCCAGACCACACTTTTCTGCCGATAGAAATCCTAACGCCTGTCTTGGAGCTTCAATCTCAACCCCAGACTCAGACCCCGCGCGGCGCATCACACCCTTGAGTCATTGAGCAGCCGCGTCTGCTATGGTTCGAGGTCTCATTAAGGCTGACCATGGCTGAACCCTCCGCAACACAGCCCAAGGGCGACGACAAGAAGCGAAAATCATCAACGGCAGCAGCCGGCTCGTCCGCCGCAGTCGTCTCAAAGAAGAGCAAAGCAACGGAGACAACGACGAAGACAACGACGACAAACACAAGCGCAAGCGCGAGCTCGAGCGCAAACGTCAATGGCCCGACGACCCCTCTATCCCCCTCGCACGAAGCCCTCCTCGCGGACCTCAGATCCAAATACGACGTCCTCCCCGCCTTCACCATCTCCTCCACCAAGATCCAGAAGCGAGTGACCTGGCTGCTGCAGCACCTGCGCAAAGACGACGGCGATCCGAGGAGGCGCGTCGTGCTCGTCTACGCGCGGCCGGGCGAGGTCGCCAAGATGATTTCGATTGTGGAGACTGTGAAGCGCATCGTTGCGGCGGAGAAGAAGAGCGTGGACGGAAAGGAGGGGGAAGAGAGCGGCGGCAAGTGGTATCAGTACAACCTCATGTACGAGCTGCCGCCGAAACCTGATGTCGTGGAAGATACGGTGCTAGGCGGCGGCGGCGGAACGCAGGATGGCTCGGATGATGAAGACAGAGACGAAGACGATTTCGAGGTTATGAAGACCCGGTTCGAGAGAGCTGTGTTGCCGCAGCCGGTGAAGCGTGCGGCCAAGTCGCTGAGCATATTCCTTTCGTTGGCGCCCGTGCCGGAACTCAAGGCCCGAGGGGATGTTACGACGCAGACGAACACGGCGCAGTGAGATGCCACTGCGAGCTCGACTGCGCTCTGGCTTGGGAACTTGGAACAAGGTCGTTTGAGGGTGGAGGTTGGATTCGAGTCCGTGAGCTGCGATCCCGGAGAATGGAGACGGGAGGAGAAACAAAAGACAAAGAGATCTCCGAGGAATGGAGTCGCGACATGTCGCTTGTAACGGCATCCAGCATTGGCATTGCATCGAGAGGCGTTATAGGAAAGGAGGGGCTACCATTTGATACCCAAAACGGGCGGGATAAAGTCGATATCAAAAAGCTTTCGAACCCGCTGGAAACATGAGATGAATAGACAGCAAGGGGAAGAAGAGACGTGGAACCAATAAGGCAACTTCCCTCATACTCAAACATTTATGCGTGAGCCGTATCCATCTGATGATGACATGTATGGGTAAGCAGGTTCCAGCACAAGAGCGCAGTGTAGATGTGTAAAGTATGTTTCCAACGCCTAATCCGATGCATTCGCTTTTTCTATCAACTATACACCTTCCACATCCGCTTTCTGTTCGCGTACGCCTAAGCTAAACATAGGAAAACTGCCAAATTACAAAACCATGCAAACTTGTTCTTAAAACAACAAATCCTTCGCTCCCAACTCTCAATCCTTCCTCGTACATACGCCTTTGTCGTAGCTTAAGCATTTTAGCAAAAGCCCGCCTCTCCTGGTTCGCGAGGCCCAAACTGCCAACGCCTAGGCATAGCTTTTGTTTCTCGCCCCTCCTCTTTCCAAGTTTGTCTTCGGAATTACGAACAGAGGCTGGGATTAGAAAGCATGTTTACTCGTACTTTTTAGTGCTTTCCCTCCTTGGACGAGTACGTTATGCGCAGGACAAAGTTGACAACGACGGCCAGCAGTAGGATGATGGCCAAAAAGGTGGGGCCAAAGCGGTCGTCAAAGCCGGCCTGGCCGCGGACGCGGATGGATTTCGCACGCCAGTGGTACGTGGCTAGGGCGTAGATCATGGTGAGCATGGCAACGCCAGTGAAGAGGAAGGCGCTGATAAAGGCCGGGCGGTCGCCGAAGTTGAGCATGCCGATGGCGAGGGCGCCGAGAATGACGGTGAAGTTGAGCCATGAGAGAAAGGTGCGCTCGTTGGCGAAGAAGACCTTGGGCTCGACTCTCGTAGGGAGGGCGATGCGCTTGCCTGGTAATGCGACCTTGTTAGTGACCTCTCACTTTCTCTTGTTTATGTCCTTATTCGGGCACTGATGTGTACGGCGTCGTGGTTGTACGTACCCGGTGCGGTCTGGAGAAGAGGTTGGCTAGACATTGTGATTTGCTATTTCTGACTGGACTGTCCCGAGTATAGGTATCGTGGTTTACGGTCGTGGCTTTCTCTATCGCAACCTGGACTGGTTCAGTCGGCGGTCTTTCGTCTTCTCGCTCGGTGTGCCCAGTTCCTACCCTTAGTCTACTGTTTACTGTCTCGGCAAAGATAACCAGAATCCTTGAGGAGAATGGCAATGCGACGTCAGAGAATTGCGATTGAGGCGTCGTTGGAGAGCTCGGGCTCGCGTCGGGCTAGTCGTCGGAACCGCAACGGTGTTTATCGTGACAAGGGGGCAGTGGAAGCGAGTCGCGCGATGTCAACTGCTTTCTCTTCTACAGTCTCGCTATTTTTCGTCTGAACAATCGGAAAAAAACTCTATCAGGGATATGAACGAAAAGACTGCGGAGATGGAAGTGAGGGAGAGAAGGGAGGAAAGAGAGGAGGAGAAGAGAGAACGAGAGAATCTGTAACCGAGAGAACCCGCTTGAAAGCTTGTTCAGATACGACAGACGATGCACCTGCACTGCGGCCGACTAGCCCCTCAAAAGCCGCTTCCTCAAGGAAAAAAGCTCCATCGCAGAGCAGACTTGTGACGCTAAGCCTGCACGGCGTGCACGGCTAGAGCTTACCTCCCCACCAGCCACAGTACAGATCCATGTCAATCGCCTGCAAACTTCTGCAGCAAGGTACACGTGCAATCCAATCGCATTTTGATTGGGGAAGCCACACTTGAAGAGGTCAAGCCTCAGCTGGGGCCATGTAGTTGTGGCTAGGCAGAGACCTCTCGATGACAGAGACACGTGACCTCTCGTTGCCCCGCGCACCTGGGGAGCACGGCCCGTGGATGCAACGCGAGGCGGCCGAATCGGGCTGGCATCACAACACCGGTAACTTTTTGTGGAGGAGCCTCATCTCTGTCGTCTTGTCCCGATCTGTCAACACAACCTCTTCACAACTTACATACACTCAGAATATTGGCACAATTGCTCAAGAACACTCTCACACCTCCTACTCCCAAGAACCTCATACATAACGAAACCAGCAAGCGCACAGAGCCTTCGAACAACCTACAATCTTTCTTCCCCTTTCCCAAACAAAACATCCGATCACAATGTCTGCGCCCGCCGCCCCTACGACAGCGACTCCCGTATGTTGAACTTTCCCCCACGCTAAGATCTCAATGGACCGCCTACTGACTCGATCTTGACAGCCCGTCGCCTTCAACCGTCTTAAGCAGATTGCTACGGATGTAAGCTGCCCATGCGACAACATCGTCAATGTAGCCAAAACATTAGGAGACAACCCACTAACCCAGTCTCGTTGACAGGCTTGCCAATCAGCCATCGGCTCTGCTGAGTTCTACGATCACGCTAAGACCGAGACATGGAACTCTCAGATCATTGTACGTTTTCCTCCCTGCGTCTGATGCCGCTGCTGTCACCCAGAGATTCCATGAACTGACCCTCATGAACCTCGTCAGTCCTCCGTTCTGAAGGCCGTCATCTCTGAGTCGACACCCCAAGGCGGCTCCGCACCCGCATACAAGTTTGCCTGCAACTCGACAATCGTCCAGCACCTCGTCCCGACATCCTCTCTCAACAAGTCCAAGGGCACCTCCGTTAAGGAGGAGGAGCCCTCCGTCTCCACGAGCGCCGATGCGACCGCCACTGACGGCAAGCCCCACGTCGGCCGCCGCGGCATGCACTCCGCCACCGGCGCCTACTGGGACGAGAAGAAGGACGGCATGTGGTCCTACAAGTACGATGGCGGCGAGGGCAAGGGCATGGATGTCGTGATCATGCTCATCTGGGTCGCAATCTAAACGATGGTGACAGCAAGGCTCGGTACTCGAGGACATAAACAGGGGGAGGCGGTTGACCCAGCGTGCTCAGGTCTGCGTCCACTCTCATCCTCGTTTACGTTTCCAAAATTACAAACCACATGGGCGCATTCGCAAGAACGGAAGCCTTACGAAAACCGGGTCGGCGCGTGGGAACGCCCTGAAAGGGGGCACAACCAGAGCAGCCTGACGACCAAGACGCAGTGGCATCATCCCCCTAGTTAAGTGTCAGCTTCAAAAAGGATGAAGTTCACTTTCTTGGTTCGAATTTACCTTAGTCAAGCAGGCATATACGGCGAACGGGATTGGGCAAGGTCTATTCATGTGTTTGAGTTACTTTTGTCTCCAAACCACGGAAAATAGCAGGAGTTCTTTTTTTTTTCTTCTAATGAGAATACATGCAAATCACGAGACTCGCTGCGCCCCAGGCTCGTACCAGATGACAATAGCTTTGTTTATATGTTTGTTGAGTTCGTTGTCAGGTGGTACAGCAGTGCATTACACAACTCAAGGTCGCATCCTTGCAATTCGGAGTGTCATTATTATGCATCTCTTAGCCTTCTCCCGGCGCCTATAAGATCTGAGCCATGCCAGTATTGCAACCATTGTGTGACGTGTGGCAGGCGGCTCGGGTACAGCTACCACCACCACAAGGACGGCAGACTCAAGGAACTCGACAGTCTGTGAATATATCTGTGAATGCATCCGGTGTGGGAATCAAGGACTTCAAGGTCTGTTGACAAAACGGATCAATGTCGCCCGCTACGAGTAAAGTCATTACACAGCATTTACACATACTTGATAGGACTAGTCGGTAGAGCTGAAGCTACGGGTTCAGTTATCGATGGCAGCTCGTAAGGTAGAAGAGACACGGGCCTCCTTTCACGATGACGTACTGCTCAAGCCGCGCCAACGTCCAGGCTCTCCAACCTGAGAAAAGAAACGCGATCGGACCCTGATGATATTTTATTCTTTTCGATGTGTCTACCTAAGGTACACGAACATCCGAACCTGCTTGCCAGTCGGGCACGTTAATGAACGAGCTTCAGTCTTGCCTCTTCCTCTCTTAACCTTTTCTTCGCCTCCCGGCGGAAGCGTGAGCAAACTTTTCGGTTCCAGTAGACACGAACAAATCTAGGCCAGCGTGCATGGCCGTGCGCCTTCTATGAAAAGCTTGTTGTCGACGAAGGAGGGTTGCAGCACGAAGAAAAGAAGATTCTCATGGTTACACAAGCACGCGAGTCGGGAATAACCCCCTCGGAGATTGTTGGGATGGACGAATCCTCAGAAGACGTTGCCGTACACCCTCTCCGACGTGAACGAGCCTGCTCCGGTAGCGGAGACGGTCATAAACCACGAGAGAGAGAATAAAAGTTATCTCGGGTTCTGGGTGTGAAGGAAGTACACACATAGCGTCGCCTCGACAGATGGGCAGGTGATAGAGACAAATTCTTTGATTCACGTCAATTCACAGGAGCTTCCCGGCTGTTCCGCTGTCTTGCTTTTGGCATACGCAAGTTGGAGTGCGGCGTAGTTTCCAACTCCATCATTTCATGACGCGGTTCGAGCTGTTGCTTGAAAACTTGCGGCTAATAGAACGAGTAGGTGGGCGGCAAGAAGTCAGATCATGCCCGACTGACAGCTCTGCCCTGAAGTATACTTGGACGGCAGCACACACATGTAAGCCGGCTGCCCTGGCCTGATCGGTGAGCGCCGACGGCGGGAGCGGGCGCGGGAGGGGTCCGTGGGGGACGGAAGCTTTGTAGAAAGATGTAATTACCACACCGGATGCGTGAGCAGGATGGTGCCTTTGCTTGCTGTAGTGTAAGCAACTTAAGCTAGGCAGACTGGCGAATTCTCTTGTGACTCTTCTGTATGTTTCCACAACGCCTCTCAAAAGATATGTCGTGCCTCGGGATACCCTTTCAAGACATTCCCCAGATGTTCAGTCTTCCCCGGTTGCCCATTGGAGAGAAACCGGGGGAATCAGATAAAGTGAATGAGCACTGAGATGCGGAGACAATCAGGAGATGAACGCCCAACCAGTATGCATGATGTTTGAAGTCCCTTTAGACAGTACGCTGCAATCATCAACCATTTCGCCACCGCTCTTTTGATGAACCCCACAAATCTTGGGGGACACCTGCGGGTGGTGCAGCGAATGCAGCAGCCATGACGACGTCGATCCCTGAGAGAGGGACGGATACCCTGCTTCTGGCTTCTCTTTCCTTTCTCGATGGCGGTCTGGCTAAGTAGGATTGATGTAACAACAGCCGAATCTAGAGAGACCTCAGAAGGGTATATACCTACGGATACGGAGGCACAGGTAGAGACGGGCAGAAGGGCGAGCTAGCATGACAACCAGGCGCATACTCGTTGTCCTGATCTGATAGATCACAGACTACTGTACGAGTGCCGTGCGATTGGCAGCATAACAGCAGCCTCACTCGGCCGATGCTGGGTGGTCATGGGACCATTGAATCCCGGTGTGCAAGCTGCCGGTGTGTTACAGCGGGAGCGGCAGCCTCGCTGGCCATGCGAAGGGAGCTCGTTGGCGGCTGCAGAAAGTTCATGATACAAGTTCAGTCGGCTTGGGAGGTTCATCATTCTCGACTGATGGATGTCTTTCGCCATGATTATCTCGCATGGGTTGACGTGCGAACGAGGGATCAGTCTACGGCTTGTAGCACTGATTCGGGGTTGCGGAAGTTCCTTCATGAATGGCCGCCATTTGCAATCGTTGAAAGCATACCTTGAAGTAGTTAGTTAGCCAGTTCCTATGCGTGCTGTCAACGTCTGGCCAATTCCAGAATCCTCGAGGGCTGGAACACGGCCTATCAACGAGTAGTGTCCTGCGCCAACCCTCGTGCCCTCGTCCTCGTTCCCTTGGATGCTTCATGCATGGAGGCTCTGGTAGGTCAATCAAGACCAAGACACGGAAGCGCCAAGCGAGGAGAAACGAGGGGTGAACGAGAGTTGCTGTCAGTTGGTTTCTTTCGGTCATGAGTATGGATAGGATGTAGGTAGATGGTGAGGTGATTCGCAACACTTTCTCGCTTTTCCGAGCTGCCGAGCGTGGTGTCTGTCGGAAGTGACGACAGTGGAACGCCTTGCCTTAGATGCCTTCCTCCTTCAGTCAGTGGCTCCCCCATCTGCGGTACCCTGAACGGCGCTACCGTTGCCTTATGACGAAAGTAGCCGGGCTCAGGTACCGGGTACTTTGTGATGGCGCTTGCAAGAGACCGTTGCGTTCGCAGGCAAAGACCCCTTCAGCGCCTAAGAAAGCCTCTCTCTTTCAGCTGTAGCTGGGACACGCTTGGGGGTTGGCTTTCGGTCCTTCCAGTTGATCTCCAGTGTTTTCTGTTTGAAATCTGCAAGATATCCCAGATTACCTTTTAGTTTCTGTGGTTCCCAAAGAGTCGCTGGAAGCGAGATGGAAGAGTTCCATGGCAATTTATGATTCGCGGGAGGATACCAATGACTGAATTTCCCCGTTTTTGTTTCTGCCATGTTCCCTCCCGGAACCAATGGGAAGCCATCGAGGACAGAAAACGTACAGACGAAAGAGACCAAGGGACCAGCAACCCCTCCCACGCTTCACTTACTCCATGGCCTAGCAGCCCGGGAATACCTAGCGTTCCTACCTCTATCCATCGCACTATCCGCTAGGTTATCAGGGGAGACACTGGCTCTGACTGGACAGAGATGGACAGAGAAAAGGCGCTGTGCTGTGAGAATCGTAGACGGTTGGAGGTGCATGACTTGGCCACTATGGCGTATGGCTCTCCAATCCAGGCAAAGGTAGTGTTAACTGTAGTGTGTCAAGGACCCCCAAAATAACAGCCCGCTAATCTGGCCTGCCATCGGCCGACATATCCTCCTTCTTTGGAGCTTGTACCCGCGACTTAGTTGGCTCCGTCGGTCTGGACGTCGCGACGGCCAAACATCGCCTTTCCCGTCCGGTGCTGGCTCCATCACACCACTTAGTCTACGCACAGCACACACACCCTCAGACCCTTTTTTCCCTTCTTCCTTGTCTTCCCGTCTCTTCTTTTCCTCTTCAAAAAGAGAAGCACCTCGACCGATCTGCACTAGACACTACCTCATCGGGCTCCTGTCACTTCTTTGCTTTTGCCGTTGACGTACCCTTATATATCTAACGAACTCCTCCCCGGGCCCTTGATCAAAGACCCTATTCTCGCCTCATGAACTTGCTATTGAGGCACTCCCATTCGCAACAACGATCATCGCCATCCAACATTGGCCCTCCCATCCAAAACATTGCTATTACCTGAAAACATAACTCACTCGACTCGCAAATCACAAGTGAGCCGAAGACTATTGATCCTCCCTCCTCTCAGCCTGAATACGACGAGACAACTACTACCCTCCTCCTCGACGACATCGTTTCCCCTCTCCATTGATAGGTGATCCTCAACCTCCATCAACGGAAAAGAAACCCCTCCTTCCATCTCACGAGACACCAAGCTTTCAACTTGGTTGGCCGCCTCTAACCCCGCTCGCTCACTTCCACACCACACACATCGTCGCATAATAGCCCAGCTCGGGCCATCGACGACAAACCTCTCAGGACAACACAACGCCGTTACACAAGTGCCCTCTCCGCCCCCCCTCTTCACGATGGTTGAAGTACTTCCCTCAGGCCTCGCCCAGAATGGTCAACCTCAGCAGTCTCAAGACTCTGCCGACCACGTCGCCTCTGTTGCCCGTCTATTACTCGCAACCAACCTCGCCTCTCGTCAGGAAAACAAGATGATGACCCGCGAGGAACGTCAGGTCATGATCGATGAGCTCAGCAAGAAGCGCGCCGGCTGGCGCACTCCTCGTCGCGGCTGGTCCATCACCGACTCTCCCGTGGCATCAGCTCAGGGCAGCCCCGCGCCCCAAGCTACAGCCTCCCCGTATCCCGCGCCTCCTTCAACCCAACACGAAGCTATAGAGAGGCATGCTATTGCCTCTGT